GTTTGAAAAATCTTTTTAAATATAATGTTATTGAACTTGTTAATTGAAAAATAAGTTCAAATAAAAACAAAAATTATTTTTTTGTTGGGAAACGGAAAACCAAAAACGGCAAGTTGTTTTTTGGCAAAACCGAAAACGGCAAGTCTTGTTAAGCCATTTGGCGACGACGACGATAAACCCTGGCGAGTTTCTTCAACATCACTCACCGAGCTGACTCGCTGATCCGGTGGAGATAAATCGGCAATTTCGTGGAGATTCGAAAGAATCCGATTGAAATCTCAGAGGAAATCTCAATGGAAGGAAAGAAGGAGACGATTTCGATTAAGGTGAAATCTCACATGCTCTAGTTTCATAGATTTTACATATTAAGCAAAATTGAAGCTAAAACTCATTAGGAGCTTCAAATAGCTTAAGTCCCCAGCTTCTATCCTCGCAATGTCTCACAAAAGGGACGATTTTTCCTGTGTTGATGATTCCGGTCTTACCTTTGCAGCCATAACCTGGAGGGGCATGGAAACACGGCTCCATCGAAACGGCACGACCACAAGGTGGGTCAGAAACTGTCCTATTTTCAGGTTTGTACAGTATCCATGGCTTTAATCCACCAAAACCTTGAGCTACGTATCCAAATGTAGACCAAGCGCTTATCACAACTTTATCAGTCATACTCAATAGATAAATCTCAGCAAGTGCCTTTTGGTTGTGTTGCTTCTTGTCACTCTGTTGATACCTTTCTTGACTTGGCTGGTGAACTACGACAATTTCTCCGGTTGATGTCGGGTATTCAAAGTACATGCTCTTGAGATTCTCGGAGTATCCGGAATTTAGAGAAGTGACTATGACAGATTTGAGTTTAGAGATCCTCTGTGCAGTGGCTGGAGTCCCTTGTGTATCCACTTCTGGTAAAAGTTTTTCTTTTTGTGTACAGGCTAGGATCTGATCCATGACATGCTTTAAAGGAATTGTGCCTGCTTCTAATACTCGTATTTGAATCCCAAGTCTCTCATCTGCTCTTGATAAGTAAGCATTGTAGGATCTTGTGACCATACCCCAAACTTGGTTTGTCGGATGAAATAGATACCGGCTCAAATGGTGGAAGACGGTTTCTTTCTGCGGGAACAGCTTGATTAGTTCGGTTTGGAAACTTGGGATCAACCATAGAGATGGAACAAAGTAAAGGTTTGATTTGACAACCAACCAAGGAACTTTACCAATGAGAATTTGGTTTTCTTCGCAGAAGAACATTTTATCATGATCTCCATAATCATGGAAAAGATGAAGATAAAGGTGTGACGGGGTTGTAGTCGAGTTAATGGCATGATTCTTCAACATTGTTCCGTGACAGAGCGGGTATTCCTGATTAAAGCTATCCATTTGATTCATCAATGGAAAATCAAGAGGCAGTAACCAGGAAGTGCCCCGAAAAGGCTCGCAGAAGAGGTCGTTTATATCGCTCCGTTGGTCAACAAGAATGATTCTCTCTGTCAAGAGAGCATAGAGGAACACAGAAACCAGAGAGAGTATCCTGTTTCCTAACCCAGACAATGGCAGCACCCACAAGATATACCGGCATTCATCACCGAAGGTGCTTACACGATTATTATCGCTGTGATCAAGCTTCTCTGTTGCTCTCTTGTAAGCTTCTGTGCCTGGACCGCACTTCTTGTGAAGCATCTCATAGCTTCTAAGCTTAGAGATAAGATACTCAGAAGGCTTGTAAGGTGAAGGCTTGCTATACAACAAAGACTGGTACCTACTTAGACAAGAATCTTCATCAAACTCTGCACTCAGAAGCCCTCCTAGCAGTATCTCCCTCGGTTTTTCAGAATCATTTGGACCTTTTAAGAACATGAAAAGAAGGAGAAGTCAAGTGAGCATTTTCTGTTTCTTTTGCTGAATTTTGAAATAAATTAGCCCAAAAGAAGAAGGATCTAGTTACGGGTGGTTGAAAAAACAGACTTCTGGCGGTTGAAGAAGTTGGAGCATGGTAGTAGTAGCACCGAGCAAAGTACTAAGCCAGTGACAATTGTTATCGTGAGCTTCTTCATACCGAAGATCTTGAACAAGATGCTTTCTTTGCTTCTACTTTGTTGCATACATGATGATATCTAATATTTGTTTGGTTTCAGGATGAAAGTGATGGATAATGGACTCATATGTTGGTGTGACCACTAAGAGGTGAAGGAAAAGTGATTTAAAAGGTATGTATGAATTCACTACTAAATTGGCAACAATGTCTATTTATAACCATTATGATGTCAAAATCTTAACCTAAGCAAGTTAAATGTACCAGCTGTCCTGTAACATATTTTTGGATAGTATTGTCAGCTAAATCATATTCTGTTCTCTCTGATTATATCAGTAAACTTAGGAATGCGACATGCTAACCCACTGCATGCATTAAGATAGCCTGATTCGTATGGCATGATACATCAAGAATTGAAGATGAATATTCATTTGTTCTCTCAGCCGGCATCCCAGGGTACAATTTTAAGTTAAAAAGTGATCTTGTGGACAAAAATTTAATTAATAGTTGAGGGGCTTATCAGTGTGTGATCATCATAAGATGTACCATTTTGAGATTAATCGCCCGAGATCTGAGGGATTTCAAAATGTGAGAGGAAGGTTTTACTGTTTAGTTAACGGAATAAAGGAAGCTATAGATGAACCGTCACTGCATTTCACCATTGTTGTGAAACTAAATCACACAGATAAAAACCTACAATGAAGGTTTACAAACTTTGGTGATTATTTTTATTTATTAGACAACAATGATGCATATGGCATGATTCTTCAACATTGTTTCCGGAACTCATACATTTACAGAGTAGTAGACAAAATGGGGAATGGAAGAAACTAAAACTCATGCGGAACTTGAACTAGCTTAAGTCCCCAGCTCATATCCTCGCAATGTCTCACATAAGGGACGATATTTCCTGTGTTGATTCCAGTCTTACCTTTACAGCCATTAGCTGGAGCGGAATGGAAACACGGCTCCATCGACATGGCGCGACCACAGGGTGGATCAGGAACTGAGCTGTTTTCAGGTTTGTATAGTATCCATGGCTTTAATCCACCAAGACCTTGAGCTACGTATCCAAATGTAGACCAAGCGCTGGTCACAAGTTTATCAGTTAGGCTTAGAAGATACATCTCGGCAAGCGCCTTTTGGTCGTGAAGCACCTTTCTTGACTTGGCTGGTGTACAAGAACAATGTCTCCTGTTGAACTCGGGTACTCCCAGTACAAACTCTTGAGATTCTCAGAATATTCCGAATTCATAGAAGTGACTAGGATAGCTTTAAGTTTAGTGGTTTTCGATCCATTGACTTGTGATTCTTCTTTTGCAGCTGTGTCAGGCAACAGTTTCTTTGTTTGTGTACAAGCTAGGATCTGGTCCATGACGTGCTGGAAATATATAGTGCGTCTGCCAGAAACCCGTACTTGAATCCCGAGTCTCTCATCGGCCCTGGATAAGTAACGTTGTAGGATCTGGTGACCATTCCCCAAACTTGGTTTGTCGGGTGAAAAAGATACCGTCCCAAATGGTGGAAGACAGTATCTTTATGTGGGAATAGCTTGCTTAGTTCGGTTTGGAAACTGGGGATCAACCATAGAGATGGAACAAAGTAAATATTTGATTTAACGACAAGCCAAGGGACTTTCCCGATGACAGATTGATCTTCATCGCAGTAGAACATCTTATCATGATCTCTGTAACTACCGAGAAGATGAAGATAAAGGTGGCACGGGATTCTTTCTGTTGTCGTTGAGTTAATGGCATGGTTTTTCAACATTGTTCCATAACAAAACGAGTATCTTTGATCGAACCTGTCTAACCGATCTGTGAGTGGAAAATCCAGAGGGAGTAACCAAGAAGTACCTGGAAAAGGCTCGCAGAAGAGATCACTAATATCCTTGCGTTGGTCAACAAGAACGATTCTCTCTGTCAAGAGAGCATAGAGAAACACAGAAGCAAGAGTAAGTACTCTATTTCCAAGCCCAAACACAGGAACCCACACGATGTATCTGCATTCACCAACAGATTTGGCTACATAATTCACATCATCATGACCAAGCTTCTCTGTTGCTTTCTTGTAAGCATCTGTGCCTGGACCGCAACGCTTGTGAAGCATCTCATAGCCTCTAAGCTTAGAGACAAGATACTTAGAAGGTTTGTACGGTGAAGCCTTGCGATACAAGAAAGACTTATGGTACCTACTCAAGCAAGAGTCTTCATCGAAATCCGCAATTAGGAGCCCTCCTACCAGTTTATCCCTTGATGTTTCAAAATCCTTTGAGCCTACAGGAAATTGAAAGATAAAAGTGACTTTTGCCGGCTTTCGAAATTAACGAAACCAAAATATGAACGTACCAGTGGTAGTAACATCAGATTAGTCGCGGTTGAAGATGTTGGAGAATGATAGTAGTAGCACCGAGTTATGTACAATGTAAATGGCGACTACTCTTTTCGTGAGCTTCATCGTGATACTCAGAGCCGAGAAAAAAAGTTTCCAGAGATGTTATTTGTTTCTGGTTTCTACGTACTCTGGTGCATATATACTATATATCGATTCTCTTGTTTCATGATGAAAGCGAGTGAAATAAACTGTCATGTTGTGACCCATCAAAAGGTGAAGGAAACAAGGTCAAAAAGGTATGTTTTGATCATTATCTTCAGCTTCAATGCTAAATTAGCAACATAATCTGTTTATAATCATTATGATGTCGAAATCTCAACCCAAAACTAGGTTAGTGGCATTTACTTGTTCTGTAAAATTTATGGATTGCTTTGACGACTAAATAAGTAAACTTTAGAATGTGACTTACTAACCATTTGCATGCATTAAAGATAACCTGATTCATATGCATGCATGATGCATCAAGAATTGGAGAATGGAAGAAGCTAAAACTCATACGGAACTTGAACTAGCTTAAGTCCCCGGCTCATATCCTCGCAGATGTCTCAGATAAGGGACGATATTCCCTGTGTGTTGATTCAAGTCTTACCTTTACAGCCATAAGCTGGAGGTGAATGGAAACACGGCTCTCCATCGACATGGCTCTACCACAGGGTGGATCAGTAACTGTGCGGTTTACGGGCTTGTAAAGAATCCAAAGCTTTAATCCGCCAATACCTTGAGCTAAAGCTTTAATCACCTTCTCATCTTTCCAAGTTCCAACTATCAACTAAATTTGTTTTGGCCGACACAAACGGAAGGACCACACGGTGCTGTCTGAATCATGTGATTCACGTTTTTCCTTTTTTCTGGGCCATCTCATGTTTCCATGACCATGAGATCATTCATATTTCTTCTGGTTCAGTGTAACGCCCATGTCAAATCAAATTACTCACTGAGTTGATCAATTATCAGAGACAGTGAAAATCTTTTTGGTGAAAATGCAAGTTTATATACATCACTACTAGTTTACGTCGTTTTCTCGGAGGATGCTCTTCTTCATAACATTGGGTTTTCTTGAGAGTATAGAGAAAAAAACCCTTATTTTTTCCGTAGAAAGATAAGATCATAATGGCGGCGGAACTCACTGGAGTTTAGGCCGATTAAGTGAGGGCCATTAGTGAATCATATGGTCTTTATGACATGGCTTCTCCTCAAGTTGTCAATACATTTTGTGACCAGGTCGAAGCCTCCGCGAAGCAAAGGTTAGTTTCTTTTTGCTTTGTGTTTCACATTTATGTTCCCTTTTTTGAAATTTGGAAACCTAATACACTTTTGGTTTTTGGAAATCATTTGGATAATTTTAAGGGAATGCGTTTAAAAATAATAAACCTTTAGCTTCGTTTGGTATGGTTTCATATTAGTTTGGATTTTTTTTTTTAAGGAAAATATTAGTTTTTATTTCACT